TCACACACTCTCACACACACACTCTCTCACACACACACACACACACAGACGTATAAATAATCATTTGGCTTTGAGGCAGATTCGCTGGTATTTGCTCGTGTTGCTCTTTCCTGACAGTTGTGCTGATATGATAATTACCGTAGTAATGAATAATTATGAGCGCTTATGATGAATATTGATGAGTTTACAGAGGTTTGTTGTTTTTCTCATCAGTCAAACACGTGTTTTGTTCTGCATTATATTACAGACAATAATAATGTGGTCATAAAAACAGAATCAGCATCATTAAAACGGGTTGGTCAGTGTGTGTAGGTGTGTATGCGTGTGTGTGTTGATCTTACGACAACACACACACACACACACACACACACAGTGTGTCCCTCAGGTGTTGTGTACAGAAAGGTCACCTTCCTTTATCTGACATTTACCCTCCGCATGGACATTTACCCCCGGCACACACACTGTTAGATAAACATGAACAGACATTCATTTGAATAAATGAATGCTAATTAAGTGCACAACAGTGTTTTCTGACTGTAGGACATCTGTGTGTGGTGTGTGTGTTGAAGAGGAGAGAGAGAAACAAACAGGTGTTGTAATTACCTGTCAAACTAGGTGTTGTAACCTGCAGGGCAATAGTCACCACTCACACACACACACACACACACACACACTCTCTCTCGCTCTCTCTCACACACACACACACACACACTGCTGCTACCAATTTCCCATTTTTGCCCTGGTATAATTGTGATTTCATGGACTGATCCACCTGTCTGTCTGAGCTGTCAGGTTGTGTGTGTTTGTGTGTGTGTGTGTGCGTGCGTGTGCGTGTGTGTGTGTGTTTAATAGCTGTAGTTTAGGGACTGAATTGACGTGAGCTGAATGTGACAAACCTGCTCGAGGGGCGTTTGCTCACGTCCTCACAGGTACAAATCAAGTAAATGTTTATTTCTGCTGTGCTTTTGGTGCTTCTGTAGTTGTTAATGTTATTTTAAAACAGTACATTAATTACTTTTCAAAGTTCATTTTCAAAGAAAATACTATTTCATTCTTTCTACATCAAAGGTTTTGGGTTTAATTCAAAGTGCTACTTGCCATTCTTTGAAATTAACAGAAATTTGCGAGCAATTTCTGAGTGATTATTATTTCTACACTTTCAGTGTATATAAAAGGATATGATGTGTCATTTTAGTTTGCATGATAGGACTAGGTGTTATACAATATTCAGCACCATTTAGTCGCACCATAGAGCATTTTCTCCTTCGCTGTGAGCAGAACACAGTGAGACGCAGCAATTGTTACGCTCTGATTTTGGTTCAGCAAGAATCCAGGATCATGGCCTAATCCATGTCCGTGGTCCTTGCCTCAATACTAGGGGTGTAACGATTCACTCGTTTTCTCGATGCATCGGTTACAAACCCTGACGATGCATATGCATCGATCTTGAAACATGATTTTTGAATCGTGAATCGCCGATTTCGGACAGTAATCGATTTAAAACGCTAAGAATCGAATGAATCGCGATTTCTATAGCGATTCAATGCACATTAATTTACATATTACTACAAGCACGAATGAATTAATGGAGATCTTGAACAGTGTTCGTGCCTCGCATCTCTCCTTCACGCGCTCCACTATTTCCCGCCTGTGACTGTCTCAGGATTGCGCTCGCGCTCCGTTCGTCTCACTGACACATTTTTTGAGCAGCTGATGT